GTATTAAATGCCGTCTTCCACTCATGATTCTCTTTAATTCTAACCAAATTGTAAGCGCTCCTAAGGTCAAGCTTAGTAAATACTTTAGCTCCCTGAAGTCTATCGAACAATTCGGAAATGAGTGGGATAGGGTATGCATTTTTTACAGTGATTTTATTAAGTGCCCTGTAGTCTATGCAAGGGCGTAACTCACCACCCTTTTCTCAACAAAAAAGAATCCTGCACCAGCTGGTGAGGATGACTTTCTTATGTGCCCTTTGCTCAAGGATTCTTTGATGTATTCCTCCATTATTTTACTCTCCTGGGGAGATAAGGCATAAACTGCCCCCTTAGGTGGCATAGCGCCTGGAAACAGGTTACTGGCACAGTCATATGCTCTGTGGGGAGGCAATACATCAGATTGAGCCTTGTTAAACACCTCCTGAAGTTCTCGGTATTGTATGGGAACTCCAGGAGTTTGGGGAGTGGTAGTGGGAAGGTCAATAGTATCCAATTTCTTTAGTACTGGTTTTATACATCTCCCCATACACTCTTTACCCCATTCTAATATCTCCCCATTAGCCCAGTCAATATAGGGATTGTGCTTACTCAGCCACGGAAACCCTAATATGATAGGACATGATGGAGAAGTAATAACCTGAAACGTCATCTCCTCCCTATGGGAGGCCCCAATGGAGATCGTAATAGGGACAGTTTCGTGGGTTATAAGCGGTTGTGTAAGTGGTCTACCATCAATAGCCTCTACAGCTAGCGGCGTAGGTCTCTCCCTGACCGGTATCTCATTACCCCTAATAAACTGGACATCAATAAAATTTCCAGCAGCACCTGAGTGTAGGAAATTTGCATTCCGTGAGATATTTGTTTTCCAGTTTTCTGAACAAATCGAATCAGAGTGTCTTGCAGTTAAAACCGTATATTTATTACAATATACACATCATCCGGTAACAACAAAAGTCTGTTTTAAAATCATATGGACCAATAGACAATGTATATTCACTTCTAGATCTTATCCAAGCTTGATGTTAAAAGGTATTGGTCGTTGGTGTTACTATTGGTATTGGAGTTGCAATGGATTTTATACATTTAAAATTCAATTACATAGGGCGTATACATAATGACATAAGGTTTGCCTGCTTTACAATAATTGGTTATCTAAGAAAAAATAGGTGGTAACTTAGTATTATTCGATATCTATGATTAAAGCCATACGTTATGATGTTTTGGTAAGTTACACACAAAGACCTTCTTGAGACTTCTAATTAAATGAATGAATGAATGATTGCCTATAGAAATGTGAACCTTTCACAGGAATTCAGGCTTACAAGGCTAGGTCAAAGGTTATTATCAACAGGATCCACAAGTCTCCATCCATCATTCTTGACTTAAAACCATATGTGTGTAAATTACAGTATGTGTATAAATTACATTATGATAGTAATCTATCTGGGTAGGGGCCTCTCGATGTCTGGATATGCTTAGAATAATAACTTACAATATTTCTACATTCCTACAACACGTTGAATACATTTAAAGTTTATAAAAATATTTTTCACTGAGTCCATTAGGGCACTGCAAGAAAACTTCCTGTTATCAAGGGAAAAAGATACCTCAAGGAGGAATCTACTTTTGTTTTTGTTAGAGGACAACTCCATCACACCTAAGATCTGTCCCCTTAAGGTTCTTAGGTGCGGAAGTTTTCCGGACGCACTGGACAATTAGTTATCATATGTCCCTTTCTACCGCAATATAGGCATAACCCCTCCCTTCTCCTATACTGTTTTTCGGCCTCTGACAGTCTAGTGACCCCCAACTGCATAGGTTCGGGTTCGGACTGTACAGGGAGGTTAGACAAAACAGGTTTAGAGAATTGAGGTGCTAGGGACATAGCCGTACGTCTGGTCTTGCTTCTGGTGACTTCTCTGAGTCTTAACCTATTATCAATATGCATGACAAACGTAATAAATTCGTTAAGACTCTTTGGTAATTCTTTAGCGGCTATCTCATCTAGTATAGTCTCTGAGAGACCCTTTTTGAATGCTGAGATTAACCCATTGTTAGTCCAGTCTACCTCGGAAGCTAAGGTACGGAATTCAATAGCATAATCCGAGATAGACCGGTTACCTTGTCTGATGTGCATTAGGGCAGTGGAGGCGTCATCCTCTCTACCCAATGGCTCAAACGTGAGCTTGAATTCGGCAAGGAATTCCTGGTAATTATGAGCTATGCTCCGATTACTCTCCCACAACGGATTAGCCCAGGCAAGGGCCTTGCCCTTTAATTGATTCATTAGATAACCAATTCTTGCTCTGTCCGTGGGGAATGACCCTGGTGAGGCCTCAAAATGGTACTCCACCTGATTAAGAAAACCCCTGCATTCCTGGATATTGCCATCAAACTGTAGGGATGGTGATAAGGAGATGCTAGGAGTCATATTAACAGTGGGTGGAGGTACACAGGGTAGAGGTGCTATAGGAGGAGACGCTGCAGGCTGCAGATGCTCCGTTCTAGCGAGAAGCGTACTTAAAGCCTGAGTGAATTGATCCATGCGGTGATCATTCTCCTCTAATTTCCTCTCGCAAGCAGCTATGTGCTGACACAGTTCTACAGGATCTATGGCCATGTCGTAATGTCAGGATTACTGTTTGATCCAGCACGTAGAACTGTACAGCACGGATGACAAATAAGTAACGTATTACCGGTCCTTAGAATGGCCGGATTTAACGTACAAAGAATAGTCAAAAATACTAGCCGAGGTCAGGGAACACAGAAAGGGACACAGCGATGAGGAAAGCCAGGAGTCAGGATACCAGAATATAGAGAAGTCAATAAACAAAGCCAAAGTCAAAAACCAGGTAGAAAATTATAAACAGGAACGCGCTCTCGGACAACCACAAGGGAAACCACGACAGGGCACTGAGCAGGCTGAGAACTGGGCCTAAATACCCCTCCTTTCTTTCTGATAGGCTGTAACCGGCCTTTGACCCCAAAGTCAGTTACCAGGTTTCATTTGCATAATTGCTGCTCAGCATTAACCCTTCTGTGGATTAGGTTGCTGCTCGGCACAACTTTTCCTGTGTGGACAGTAAATGTCATTAACCACTTTTCTATAAGCGGATGAATACATGAGACCAGGTTTCATTTGCACAATTACTGCTCAGCATTAAACCTTCTGTGGATTAGGTTGCTGCTCGGCACAACTTTTCCTGTGTGGACAGTAAATGTCATTAACCACATTTCTATAAGCGGATGAATACGTGACAATGTCAAAATTCCAAGTTGAAAAATGGATATGTGCACGTGCCAAATGTGGCCTTTTAGCCCCCAAACAATCTGACAAGCCTATGCATGGGTGGTATCACTGTACTCAGGAGATGTTGCTGAACACATATTGGCATGTTGTTTGGCAATGACACATAACACGATTTGTTAATTCATGCCTAAAGTACAATGTGTGTGAAAAAAAACACACAAAAAATGACTACCTAAATGTTTGACAAAGTCTGGTGGTAGAATTAGTGCATGGAAAGTGTTAAAAACCACCATTTGAAATACCCTAGGGTGTCTACTTTCCAAAAATATATGGTTTGGTGGGGGTAAAATACATTGGCCGGCCTTACAAATGTCCCAAATAGGACATGTGCGCAGGTTGACTACATGTCAAAATTCCAAGTTGAAAAATGGATATGCGCACCTGCCAAATGTGGCCTTTTAGCCCCCAAACAATCCGACAAGCCTATGCATGAGTGGTATCACTGTACTCGGGAGATATTGCTGAACATATATTAGTGTGTTTTTTGGCAGCAAGACATAACAGGATCTGTAAGTTTATACCTGAATTGCAATGTATGTGAAAAAAAAACAACTATCTATGCAAAGTTTGGCAAAGACTTGTGGTAAAATGGCTGCATAGAAAGTGTCAAAATATCCTTAGATGAATACCCTGGGTTGTCTACTTTAAAAAAAATATATACATGTGGAGTGTTTTCCAGAGATTTATGACAGATAATAGTGTTACAATGTCACTATTGATACATTTTAAAAATGTTTGTTTTGAAACCGCCATATCCTACTTGTACCTATAGCCCTATAACTTGCAAAAAAAGCAAAAAAGCATGTAAACACTGGGTATTTTTAAACTCAGGACAACATTTTGAATCTATTTAGCTGTTTTTTTCATTCGCTTTTGTAGATGAGTAAAAGATTTTTCAAGTAAAAGTAAAAAAACATGTATTTTTTTCAATTTTTCATCATCATTTTTTTTTTTTTTTTTTTAATTAAAATACGTGAGATGTATGCGGGGCAGACAGGGCTCGGACAGAACCAGGAAACTGGTTAACATCCTCCACAGCATTCAGACATCGGGAGAACCTAGTGTGGCATTGTCGTTAGATGCTGAGAAAGCATTCGACAGGCTACACTGGGGATACCTGGAGGCGGTACTAAGGAAATTTGCCTTCCCAGAGGGCTTCATCACCTTAATTTCAGCGCTGTACGATAACCCCACAGAAAAAATAGCAAACGGTGGCTTTATTTCCAAGCCATTCCAGGTCTCCAACGGGTCCCGACAGGGCTGCCCGCTCTCTCCACTATTATATATACTGGCGTTAAAACCCCTAGCACAACGAATACGGGACTCCCCAAACATTAAAGGGATTACAATAGGAGCGAAAACGCACAAAATCACTCTGTTCGCCGATGACGTGATGCTCACGATATCGCATCATGACACCTCACTACCGCATCTCCAAAACATACTAACACAGTTTGGCAACTGCTCATATTATAAACTTAATATTAGTAAGACACAAGCCATGGGCCTTAATCTCACTGCGGGGCAACTTATAAACTTGCAAAGCAAACACACATACGATTGGAGAAGGGACCACCTGACATTCCTGGGGATCCACTTCACGCCCACAATTAGGAAACTGTACAAAGCGAATTACCATACGCTACTTAATAATATTAAACACCAACTACACAGCTGGAAAGGGAAATATATATCCTGGACAGGTAGGATAGCGGCAGCAAAAATGATGATACTACCAAAGCTGCAATATTTATTTAGAACACTCCAAATCCAACTACCAAAGAAATTCTTTACTGAAACCCAACGCATGCTAAATGAATTCATATGGGAAGGAAAACGCTCTAGAGTAGCCGCAGCCACCATGTATAAACCCTTCAGGGAAGGAGGGATGGGAGCACCAGAAATTATGGGATACTACACAGCGGCTCTAATGAGTGCCCTCATGACGACTTTCCACCACACTAACCCACCGCCATGGCATCAAATAGAAATGACGCATATGGGTGGCATGTCATTGTCCACCCTGGCCTGGATCTCCAAACAAAAAAGGCCACGTTACCTAAACGCCTGCCCCACCACGACTGCAACACTGGCAGTGTGGGATAGATATGTTAAAAAACACTACCCCGCTTCATATGTTTCCCCTGCACTGCAAATCCAAGCGTTTAATGTCCTAATCCCTGGATTTGACCATGGACTGTGGCATGACCATGGGATCAAGTGCTTATCCCAAATAATGACGGATGGCCACCTGCTGACTTATGATTCGCTTTCGAACACATTCAATTTGCCACCCAAAGCCTACTTCGCCTACCTACAAATACACTCGTGGGTGGGGAAACACGTTAGGGAGGATAGGACACACCACCAGGACACTACACTATCTGCGATCGAAAAAATGTGCATAGCCAATAAGCAGCCGCAAAAATTGCTATCTTTTCTATACAAAACATTAAAAACCCAGACACCACCAAAAACATTACATTTTGTGCGGGCTTGGGAACGAGAGTTGAACACAGATATACCAGACGAAGACTGGTCCAAAATCCTAGCGGCTCATAAGCACCTAACGCTGAACACATCCCATATAGAAACTAGCAGGAAGGTGTTATACCGATGGTACATGGTACCGACTAAACTTCACAAACACGATAGCCAGAAATCAAAGGCTTGCTGGAGGTGCCTACAAGACCCAGGCACAATGCTCCACGTATGGTGGACATGTCCAAAATTAAAACCCTTTTGGGGTGGCATTTCTAATATTATCACGGCAGCCACAGGACTTGTCATACCATTCTCCCCAGAAGCTTACTTATTACTAGCACTGCCACAAAAACTGAAAAAAGTAGACCGGTATCTTACTTACCATATTATCATTGCAGCGCTCACGCTCATAAGCAGAATGTGGCTCAAGGAAGCAACCCCAGACATTGACAAATGTTTAGCCCAGGTGGACACCACCAAATCATATGAAATAGCTGCCAGACAGACGAGAGCAGTTAGTGGAGTTTGGCAAACGGCATGGAACAAATGGGATGAGTGGCGACAGTTAGCCACAACGAGCAAATAGTCAAGAAGGCCCTGGAAAGGGATCAGAGCCACAACAAAACCGATCACCTTTCCCCCCTTCCCACACCCTCCCCCCCTCTCTCTTATCCCCCATTCCCAGTTCTCTCTTTACATCACGATATGGAACACGGGTTGAGCCTGGATTAGAGGTTGACGGGTTGAGAGATCTAGGCATCGAAGCAGGTTATAGTTATATAAACACATGTTACGATATTACATTAATCTCCTCACTGTTAACTTCATAATGTAAACTTTACCAAGAAGTATGATAGACTTCTCCTTTATAACCACTGTTCCATCCTCTGTATATGTATATGTGAAACATGTTTCTAATATTGAAAAACTAATAAAAAATTATTACACAAAAAAAAAAAAAAAAATAAAAATAGTGAGATTATACCAAGCCGTAATTTTGCATGTAAAAGCACTTTGTGCAACCTGAAAAAAAATATATAATTTGTATGGGTACAGTAAATGAGAGAGCGGAAAATTACAGCCAAACACAAACACCACAAAAGTGTAAAAATATTCCTGGTCGCAAATGTACAACATCGCAAAAACAGTCCAGTCCTTAAGGGGTTAAAAAGGAATTTTTTTTCTTCCATTTTTATTTATGCTTTCATATTTATATCTATATATTTTTTGTATCTATAAGAGAAAACTTAGATTTCACTGATTAATCAAATTTATAATCACTTAAGTTTTCACATGTTCCGCTATCATTTTTTCGGGGTTTTGTTTGATTTTTTTTTTTTAATTTTATTAGAGTTATGCACATGATATACATCTGTGTCATTTATATATGAGGGATAAACAGTTGAAGATTATTTCAAGGTTGTTTGATTTATAAAGAGTTTTTTTAATATAGAAGACTTTTTTAATATAAAAATTTTTTCTTCATCAAATCTGAATAATTATACGTTTGGTCCACATCATACTTCTAAATATTAAATCTATTTTTTCCGTAAATTGGGAATCATTAATAGAAGGTAGCATAAACAATTTAGTATTGTCATCAAGTGGAAATAATTATTTTATTTGTGTGTAATGATACATTACATAAATACACATGAAATATATATATAAAAATAAAGATTTTTTTTTTTTATTAAAACCTTTTTGTGATAAGAGATGCATGGTTTTTTCCCATTGTATTTCATCTTTATGTAATGTATCATTTTTATAAATTTTATATATATATATATATATATATATATATATATATATATATATATTGTTAATGTACATGTATACAATAATCTTTTTTTCTAAATTCAATTTTTTTCACACCTGCAATATTATTATTCTCCGAGCATCAAAGCTCACTATGGAATGCTTATAAATTCATAGTTGGAACGCATAGACGTTCAGGACGTTTCAACCGAAATCGGAAGTGACACGCAAAACCGGAAGAAGGAGGTGGAATGCATACACGGTCCGGTGGAACGCAAGCCGTACGAACCCGCAAAAATTTACACTGTCAATTACACACATCAGCCGGTGTTATCAACAGGTCCAGTGGAAGCGGTCCAGCAATATCCCTTAGTGGATTTCAAGGCACATATCTCATTTACATCTTGTGAGTGCAACCATTATTGCAGTGTGTTATCTAATCCAACTGTACATCACTGTGTTGTTTGTTCTCCTTTTTATTTTAGTTCTTAGCTGCATCCCTTTTTCCTTTTTTTTCTACACTTCTGATATTGAAGAGGTCTAAGTGGGAAAGACCTCTAGGGAAGCTATTCTGTTCTTATTCAGTTAAAGGACCACTATAGTGCCAGGAAAACATACCCTGAGGGTGCCCCCACCCTCAGGGTCCCCCTCCCACCCGGCTCTGGAAAGGGGAAAAGGGGTAAAACTTACCTTTTTCCAGCGCTGGGCGGGGAGCTCTCCACCTCCGATCCTCCTCCGTTCCTTCCCGTCGGCTGAATGCGCACGCGCGGCAAGAGCTGCGCGCACATTTAGCCGGTCGCATAGGAAAGCATTATCAATGCTTTCCTATGGACGCTTGCGTGCTCTCACTGTGATTTTCACAGTGAGAATCACGCAAGCGCCTCAAGCGACTGTCAATGAGACAGCCGCTGGAGGCTTTGGGGGAGGGATTAACCCATTTATAAACATATTTTGTTTGTTTATAAAAAAATGGGTTAACCCCTTAAGGACGGAGCCAAATGTACACGTTGTGAACGAAACAAAATGTAAACAAAACCTGGCATTTGCGCTACATGTCTGTCCAACCGTAATTCACCTCTTTCATAGTAAATGCACCCACCCTTATTATATATCATTTTATTCAGGGGAAACAGGGCTTTCATTTAATATCAAATATTTAGCTATGAAACAATTTAATATGAAAAAATGGGAGAAAATAAGAATTTTTTTTTTTTTTTAGTTCTACATGACATTTTAACTGTCAATGTCATAATACTGTTTGCTTTTACTGCAATAAAATACACATATTTGTATTCAGCAAAGTCTCGTGTGTAAAACAGTACCCCCTATGTACAGGTTTTATGGCATTTTGGGAAGTTACAGGGTCAAATATAGCACATTACATTTGAAATTGAAATTCGCCAGATTGGTTATGTTGCCTTTGAGACTGTATAGTAGCCCGGGAATGAAATTTACACCCATAATGGCATACCATTTGCAATGGTAGACAACCCAAGGTATTGCAAATGGGGTATGTCCAGTCTTTTTTAGTAGCCATTTGGTCACAAACACTGGCCAAAGTTAGCGTTAGTATCTGTTTGTGTGAAAAATGCAAAAAAACACCAATTTTGGCCAGTGTTTGTGACTAAGTGGCTACTAAAAAAGACTGGACATACCCCGTTTGCAATACCTTGGGTTGTCTACTATTGCAAATGGTATGCCATCATAAGGGTAATTTTCATTCTTGGGCTACCATAGGGTCTCAAAGGCAACGTAACCAATCTGGCGAATTTTAATGTGAAAAAAATGAAACACAAGCCTTATATTTGACGCTGTAACTTTTGAAAACACCATAAAACCTGTACATGAAGGGTACTGTTGTACTCGGGAGACTTCGCTGAACACAAATATTTGTGTTTCAAAACAGTAAAAAGTATTGCAGCAATAATATCATCCGTGTAAGTGCTGTTTGTGCGTGAAAAATGCAAAAAACTTCGCTTTTACTGGCGATATCATTGTTGTAATACATTTTACTGTTTTGAAACACTAATATTTGTGTTCAGCGAAGTCTCCCGAGTAAAACAGTACCCCCAATTTACAGGGTTTATGGTGTCTTGGAAAGTTATAGGGTTAAATATAGTGCTAGCAAATTAAATTCCCTATACTTTCGGCATGGGTTGTCAGGCAGGTCCCGCTAATTGTAATTAATTAGGATACCTAATTATGTAAAAATATTACATAAATATATGTGTAGAATTAATATATGTGTATATATATACATATGTGTATATATACATATATATATATAATTTTTTAAAATATTTTTATTTATATATAGGTGTGTATATATATATATATAGTGATATATACGTATATAGATATATATATTATTTCGTTCTACGTGTATTTTGATATAAATATATATATTAATATCACAATACAGTTAGAACGAAATAACAAACATCTATATAATTTTTAATTATTTTTAATTATTTTTTAAATTTATTTTTTTACGTATTTACATTTTTTTATATTATATATAAATATATATATATATATTTAATTAGTATCAGTCTACGTGTAATTCAATAGTAATATATATATGTATATATATATATATATATAAATAATTATATATATTAATATTTAAATACACTTCGTGTATGTGTAAATGTGTGTGTGTGTGTGTGTGTGTGTGTGTGTGTATATATATATATACTTAGATCATATATATATATAATATATATGATCTAAGTATATTTTATATTTAACTGTAATTTTTTTTTTTTTTTACTAATATTTTTTTTTTTTTACAGGAGAGGGGGCAGAGACAGTGTCAGCCAGTGATTTCACATCACTGGCTGACACACAGGATCAGTGATCACAGTGACTGCCTGTCACTGTGATCACCTCCTGCAGATTGGGTAATTGGCCACAGGGGGGAGTGCCTGGGTGGTACAAGCACTTCCCCCTTCCAATCTGCAGGGGGATCTTTGTGCCAGTTACATGTGTCAGCCATTAGGCTGACACATGTAACACTGATCGCAGTGACAGGCTGTCACTGTGATCAGAGCGCTCTGAGATCGCAGTGACAGCCTGTCACTGCGATCTCAGACAGTGCAGATCGCGGTCACTGACCCCAGGGGGACTGCCTGGGGGGGCCAGGTAAGTCCCCCGACCGCGATCTGCACGGGGTAGCCGCCGGCCACGTGTGTCAGCCGATTTGAAATGCCTGTCACTGCGATCAGAGACTGCAGATCGCGGTCACCGGCCACAGGGGGGGTTGCCTGGGGGGCCAGGCATCCCCCCCGACCGCGATCTGCAGCGGGCGACTAGCGCCGGCCACATGGGCGGCCATTAAAGTGAGGGCGTACTATTACGCCCGCCGGCGTTTAGAGCCGGCTCCTGCAGGGCGTAATAGTACGCCCTCCGGATTTAAGGGGTTAATCCTAGCTGGACATTAAGCTGAAGTGGTCTGGGTGCCTAGAGTGGTCCTTTAAGTACATTTTATTCATTTATGTGAGAGATGAGTCATTTATTTTTTGTTACACATAATGTTTACGCCATTTTGTCCCAGACGAAATACAATAACAATGCATAAACAAGCTTCAAGGCTATCCTATGATCAGGGCCGGACTGGGGATACGAAGCAGCCCTGGAAAAAAATCTATGCCAGCCCCATAATTCATTGTGCTGTGTAGGGTGTATACCCTGCAATTGAAATAGTTGGCTGCACTCTCGGATTTCCTTAAAATGTAACTTTTATTGAAATATTTAAGAGAAGATCACTGTTTCAGTCCCTCTTGTGGACTTTCGTCATGATCCTGATGCAAGTCCACAAGAGGGACTGAAACGTTGATCTTCTCTTAAATATTTCAATAAAAGTTACATTTTAAGGAAATCCAAGCGTGCAGCCAACTATTTCAATTGCCTATATATATATATATATATATATATATACTGGATACTGGAGCCCTGGTGATGCAACAATATATATATATATATATATATATATATATATTTTATTTATTTTTTATTGATACATTTCTTCTTCTTCAAAATATTAGTTCTTTTAGGGTAATTAAATTATATAGTAACGCATACTCACACACAGACACAGACAATCTTACTGATGCACACAATTAGGCTCATTGACAGACAATCTCAATGACACACACAGACAAGGTTACTGGCACACACACAAATTTAGTACAGACAAACTCTGATATACACACACAAGCTTACTACAGACAAGCTCACTGTCACACACACGCTCACTACAGACACGCTCACTGATGTGCACAAAACTCTCCCTACAGACAAGCCCATTGACACACACATACTCACTACAGAAGAGCTCATTAACACACAGATTCACTACAGACATGCTCACTACAGACAAGCTCACTACAGACAAGCTCACAATCACACTCATGCTTACTACAGACAAGCTCACTGTACACACATGCTCACCACAGACAGGCTCCGACACACCCATGCTCCTTACAGACAAGCTCACTAACACACACACACATATTATCCCTACAGACAAGCTCACTGACACACATACAAGCTCACTCACTAGCAGGCGCACACACACACAGAGGCTCCCTCACTAGCAGATGTGCGCGCACATACACACACACAGAGGCAGTCAGTCCCTGACAACGAGGAAAACATCCACATATACAAAGACAGGCAGACAGCCACACACACACAGGCAGACAGCCACACACAGGCAGACAGCCACACACACACACAGTCACACGTACAAAGTCACACACACAAACAGACACACACACACAGTCACAGACAGTCACACACACTCACAGACAGTCTCACACACACACACACACACACACTCACAGACAGTCTCACACACACAGTCACAGGAAGTCACACACACACACACTCACAGACAGTCACATACA